ACGATCGACGAAACATGGCGTGGCAAGAACGACGCCGGTGCATCGTCTATTTAAAAAAAAAAGGAGAGAAAAGAACCACACCGTTGGCATCTTTCTGTTTTTGTTTATTTTGAAACAAACTCAAAAATTCTTTATTCACGATTTTTGTGCTGAATCCCTGCAACCACCACATCTACAGAAACATAAGAAAAGGAAATCCCTCAACACAACAAAAGTATAGAGGAAGATCGGAGATGGGGGTGATAAGGTCCGCTATTGGAGATGCAGTCCTCACTACCATGTGGGTCTTCAGCATGCTGCTATTGAGGATTTTCACAGGAATCGTAGCAACCTACCTTGGCGTTCAAGCCATACCCCTTGCTGATCTGCTCATCACCATCAATCTCGTCACTCTCATGGTGCTCGGTTTCAACTTAATAGGCACTCTATATGGAGGAGCCAGCTTCAATCCCACCTCCACCGCCTGCTTCTACGCCGTAGGCCTCAGGCCAGACTCTTCCCTCCTGTCTATGGTGGTCAAATTCCCAACTCAGGCGGCAAGTGGCGTGGTTGGCGCCAAGGCAATCTTGCAGGTGATGCCTTAGAAAGTGGGCAAAGTGGTCACTATGCTTGCACAGGTGGCAGCACATGTGAAAAAAAAATAAAACAAATGGGTTTAACTGCTGAACATTTAGGACTTAATGGTGTCGTGACGGCAACATGAAACGACATCAAGGAAGGGATGATAATGAAGCAAAAAAGAGGAGTAGAGGGACGACGTTTGGCTCTTTAGGAGAGTAGAGGGATGACAACAAACAAATCCTTAGTAGAGGGACAAGAACGAATAAAATATGAAAGTAGAGGGATGACAATTGACGTTGAACCTTAATCGAAAAGAATCGAAGTTCCATCATCTAATCCTGACGTTACTCCACCGAACTGCAACGGCCCGTCAAACACCCTCATGTCACCAATTAATTTTGGGAAAGGGCGCTATAGGATAATTTTTTATCTCCTTTATTTGTATAATTTTTATGTCATTAATTTTTATATGTTATTTAATAAATAAATATATTTAGTATTAAAAAT